GCATCAATCGTTCTTCGAATAAATATTTTTCTTTAAACAAAGATTTTCGCTCTGACTCATGGACGATAACATCGTTTCCTAAAATATTCTGAATTTGTCACTGTATTAAATCTTTTAAAACGAAAAAAAAGAAAAAAAAAAGAAATGAATCAGAAGAAAGATTGAAGAAGAATCTTGAGAAAAGAATATTTTGAAATAATAGTGATATAATTCTATGACGCAAGAACTAAATTCCACCCTCCACAAATAATTCTTTCAAAATCGAGAATTCCAAACGAGTCACGAGCGTATCGTAGACGAAGTGTTAAAGCAACATTTCCATCAGCGTGAATCATATTTTTCCTACCAATAATATCATCGATAATCTCTCGACTAACTACCACGCAGCGCGACAGGACTCATTTAAATGATTACCCCGGCAAACAATGCTCTTATTCAGGCCAGGGACACGAAATGCATTATCTTTAAGGCCGTTCGCGATATAACTAATACTCTTTGATATATATATATATATATATATATATATATATATATGTATATATGTATATATATATATCTCCCGCTCTCTCTCTCTCTCTCTTATTTCTAGTCTTTTGTTGCGAAACCTTCGCTTGGTATGTAGTTCACGGCTGTAACTACACGCCTAGACACGAAAGTCAATGTTACGTGACCGTCGATGTTGGAGCGAAAAAAAAAAAAGAAAAAGAAAAAATCCAGATCCTTAGAAAAGCTGACTATTTTCGGCGCCAAGTGTAAACTGTGTATAGACACAGTTCTTCTTTCTTCCCTTCATTCCTCTTTGGAAGAGGAGATAAAACCGGCATCTCGCTGCAAGCTACTCCGCGTACCGGGCGCTTTGTATCTCGTAAAAAAAAAAAAGAGAAAAGAAAGAAACGATTCACAGTGGAAATTCACGCGGCACAATAACGGATTCCGAGTGGATACTGATAGTGAGTTTTTGTAGAAATTCACGCACAGAGGCTTTCGATAGTATTTAAATGCTAAAATAGACACTTGGAATATATTTTTGTAAACACGTTTAAAGAAATGAAACTTGGAATATGAAATATTAATATATATTATTATTATATATATTATTAATATATATTATATATATATATATATATATATATATTATTACATTTCGCACGTACATTTTTCTACCTCGAAAATTGTTTAAAAATATAAGAATGTATAAATTTTCTAAATTTACAGATAGAACAGAACAAATATTCTTTACGTGGGTAGATTTTATATAGAAGTAATAATACATGACGCGTTTTTTCTTTTTTTTTTTTTTTTTTTTTAGAGAAAACGTGAATTAATTGCATATCTTTTCATATTCAAATTTCCTACAAATATACGAACATCTATTGTATAAAATACAATAGAACTTCTCACATAAATATTAGCGAGAGACATTACTTAATGTCTGACTCTTACTGGCTAAATCTACTCATGAAACGAGTGACGACGAATCTTAGACACTTGGCATTAGCAAATACTGGAAACATATTTAAAGAAATGAAAATACTGGAATATAGAGTGATATATTCCGTACGTTTTAAATCGTTTCTGATACCATTTTCATGACAGTGAAAAGCTTGAAATGCTTGGGATTCGTTGTTTAACATTGACACCGACAATGGAAAGTCTCGCGCTGGAAAAGCGCTCGGTACCCTCGAAAATTACTGGACTGGAATTCGCGGGAAAAACACGGCCATGCATAGAGAGCGAATTTAGGACGTACATCGCTTTAACACGCATGAAACTTAGAAAGCAGACGCTCTGTTCATAGTAGGAAGAGCAGAGAAAAAGACGCGAATAATGGAAGATGAAATACTTCAAAGAAGAAGTGAGGGGAAAACAAGTTTTTCTATAATATTTCTATCAAGCAATATGTAAAAAGCGTCATATAAAATCTTTTGTACAATATATGTGTTTAACATATGTGTTGTATTCTAAAAGAGTTCAAACACTTTTGTGAACTACACAAAAGATGGCGAGAATACAAGGTGAAATGTCGAAGGATTAAGGATCACTGTACACGTATATGAAAACAGTGATATTATATTCATTTCGATTTTATAAAATCGTAGAATCTAGGTCGAGGAAATAATAATGAAAAAAAAAAAAGAAAACGAAACGAATTCTTGAAACTCCCTTTCCTTACAACTAAAAAATAGAGTTCGAAGAGATAAACTGACGGGAGAGAACTGTAAATAAAATATCTTGCCGAAACCAGCTATCACTAGCAATTTCCATTTTATCGAATACGAATACGAATGCATAGAAATCCCAAAGATTAATCTCAATAATTCTCTTCGTTTCTGATCCTTTCACGCAGAGTTCAACGAAACTTAAAGAAACAAACACGCGTTATCTGTGACTCTTAACGAATTGACGAGTCAACGATGCAAACAGATAGAAAATCTTCCACAGGAGGGAACGTTTACGTTCGCGGTAAGGAAGCGTTCGCAGATGAGATGTTCCCTGCTTTTTACGGATTTAGATTGTCCCTATCCTCAATTATACAAACCAACACCTACATGAATATAATAATAGACATAATGGGTAGTGTTTATTTGGCGAAACGCCATGCCGCCGGAGTCTATATTCTCGCGCGCGGCTCGTCCACTCGCTCGGCCAATATTTACAACAGGTACACACAATCGGCTGTATACAAATCATATTAATTAATTGACAACGTCCCCCTCCCCCTCCTACTCCCGCCGAATTTCCGCATCCGCCGCTCCAACCGGGTTAATTTATCGCGTCTCGAGACGAAAACGAAACGACACCGGCCGTAACATGAATCGCGTCCCGTTATGTAACTCCTCGCAGCTTCTAGCCTCGCGTTTCATCTGCCCGTCGCTTCCTTCGCTCCTTTTCATCTCAACTTCACGCTCGTCGCGTCGCTGGATGAAGTTCGATACGTTCGTACGACGTTCAATATTTTTCGCAAGACCTTCGCGAAGAAAATATACGCCGATACCATTGGAGAGACGAACGATAAGAACGTCAAGTTAAAGATCTCGTTTTTTTGCTCGTTGTTTGTTCGTTGCACGCCACGTTGCTCCGTTTTCCGACGTTGAGGAAGCTAGCAAGATCTTAATCTAGTTTCCAACCTTGGTTGGAGGCGGTCGAGGTGTTCCGTGTCAGAACGTTTGAACGAACAGAGTGATCTCTGCAAGGTTTCAGATACGGCTGCGGCTGAAAGTCGACACACGCGTAGAACACTGTAATGATTTTCCACGACAACTTGAGGTGGCTTGGAAAATTCGAACAAATGTTTTATAATGAAAGATTTACGTTGCCTGGTGCCGATTCGAAATTACGCACGTGGTACGTACCAACGAGGATTCCTTCTAGTTATTAAATCTTTAGCTATTTAAACTCTTCGCTAGCGAACTCTAATTAAGATAATTTCCTCTTTAAATTCTATTCTATAATACTACATAAAATTAGGATCGAAATGATACATTATTTAACCTCTTGCGCTGGAATGACATGCCACGCACGCCAAAATTTTTTTGTTCCAAAATTGTAATATTTTCTCAGTCTTAAGTATATTTAAGTAAAACAAAATAGGCAAAATAAATAATAAATTTACTACTTCTCAATAATTTCTATCCAGTGATATCATACCGATATCACATCATCATGATATCATCTTCAAAAAGAAAGCGACGAATTATTGTGTATACGGTTTGGTCATTCGTTAAGGCAATCAGTTGCCAACGCAGATGCTTAAAGAGAAGATTTCTTCAACTCTGATAATTTTATTATTAACTACCGATCCCTCGATAAATATTTCGACTGATGCTACGAAAAACATAACCGCCGGTGGAAATGGTGTATTATGCGCTGGTTTTCTTCGATCGAAGGAACAGGATTGGCAACAAGTTGCAATGTTGTTGCACCGACACGAATCAAATGTTCTTCCTCGAATCTACAGGAGCAATAACGTTCGAGCAAAGAAGTGAAGCAGAGCCTTTTATGGCGGGTGACTAGTAGAACCAGTTCCAAGCAGGTGAAGACCCGAAAAGATAAACACGGAAACAAAGTACAATGAATGCTTCTCGGAGTAACTGTTCTTCTGCTCCCACTGCTACGCCCCATTCAAATGCCTCTCTCGTAGATTCTACTGCCTCGTTTACCATCATTTACAGCCGTGGATATGATAACCGCGAACAAAATCTGCAAACCTATCGCGGCCTGTGAGCTAATGATCGCTACCTCATTACGTAGCTAACTCATTACGGTTTCTTTGGTAGAATTGAATAGAGGTTACAATGGCACGAAGTCAAACGGATCTATTAGTTACTCGACGTTACAATGGTTCATGATTGTAGTTTTTATGAACGTGAACATTTCATTAACGGCGCAATTGTGTTGGTAAAATTTGAAACGAATCTAAAAAGGGAAGCGTTGATAAATGAAAAGATTAATGTAACTAATTGTCCAAATATTTTGATAATCTCTGCAAATGTTTGCAATAAGTACCTAGACACCTCGAGATTGGTTTTTAAATTTTATCGATATAATCATATTTATAACACGTTAGATTGTTTAAAGAAAACATGTTTAAAGAAAACCTTCTATAAATGTTGGGATCACTTTCGAGAGTCTCATACATAACAGAATTCTGTCAGAACAGTATAATTACTGTCAATAATACTATCAAATGTAAACCGAACCCTAAAGAAATATATGTCGATGTTATGTCAATATTGTCACTTCTTCAGACGCCTACAATTAATAATAATGTTAATGTCAATACGATTATTTCGACTTCTTTCAGATTCAATAGTATTAAATTTTATCATCATAATTATAATACGAAATCAACAATACCCCAATGTGACTACTTGAATATAACTAACGAAACCTACCATCATTTGAAAATAAATATGAAAAATATCAAAAGATCTAGGTCTCCGTCCAGGCTTCGGGCTAGGCCTCGAATCTATTACACCGAGTTATTAAGAATCAATTACCTTGATTGAAATCCACCTGGCCGAAGGAAGCGCTTCTGAACGGTGCACCAGCTCTGTGAAACGCAAGAAGAGGCCCTCTGGGCTCCAATCTCGTGATCGCATCCCTGGCTTCGCCCTCGTTACCTGTTCCAAGGACGTCTGCCCTCAGATTGTTACACAAATCGTCCACACACGTGCCACTATCCACCACCGAATCACTGTACTGTCTCAAATGTTTCGCCGTGTCCGCACTGGCGTTCAGCTCGTTTTTTATGTCACTTGCGTCACCACTGTTCCTGTCATGTTGTCTGACCGACCGGGAGGATCTCCTCGAGTCGGTGCACTGCTTCCTGTACGCGTCGTTACTCGACTCACTGAGACACTCGTCACCGACACTGTCACTGCGATTGATCGTCTTCAGCTGGTGTTGCTGTTGCTGCTGGTACTGCTGAGGGTACTGGTTGCCAGATCCGTGACCCGTACCCTCGCTGTACGTGTAGCTTCGACAGGAAGGTCGACCGTCGCACCGACCACATCCTTGGTTCGTTGCCTGTGGAAAAATGTTGATCGTTTGGATAAGACAATTTACCGAACATTTTTGCAAGTTGCACGCTGACTGAGTATTCCCAAAATTGTTTACGAAACTTATTCCAGCATTTGATAATTCACGAATCATCGCAAGCATTATAAAATCTTGCAGTATAAGATTAATCCCTAATTTCCCTTTCCTAAAATGTACAATTATATTTCATCGAATATTTGAGAATCTGTCCGTGACATTCAAAGACACTAAAAAGGAATCGTGTATCTCTTGAATCTTTTGAACGTAAAATTTCATTGCAATATTTTAAACTAAATATCTCGTGGATGCGTCAAATTGATCGATTCGTTGGGAAACAAATTTCTTACCTGAGGGTAGTTCTGCGAGGGTGGTTGATATCCACTTGGCGGTGGAGACGATGTTTGAACCCGCGAAGGTCTTCTAGGTGGTGGCACCGGGGCTGGACCCTTCAATTTCTCAGTGAGCTCTCGAAGGCGCTCAGCCTTTTCGCTCCGGGGGCCGGAAGAGGACTTTTTGCTACTCCCTCCTCCGCCCCCGCTCCACCGGAACCTATGCAATCGGTCCACCGCTATCACTGCTGGCTCCTGAATACAACAAGTTGCATCTTTATCGCTACATTATTTACCGACACGGCAACACACTTGGGTCCATTTTATGTAATTCGCAAAAAACCAGGCTAATCTCGCTTCATATCGTTTTTTATTCAATGAGTCTTCAAGCTAATGCACCAAGGGATCTTTCAAGTGATCAGATTGTAGATATTGAAGAAAGTTACGAAAGGTTAAATCGTCTTCTTAAAATTCAGATTTCTCGGGAGTTTTCCAGCGCTGTTCTTTCCTACGAGCTTTTTAAGACCGCGCACTTGCGACCGAACCAATTTTTGGATCGACCGTGCTGCAAAGCGTGCGCTGCCTCGTGCCTGCCGCGAGGGAAAAGACAGATGACGACCAAAATAGAATATCGTTCTTCGACTAGACACCTACGTATCGCGCGTACGAGTGTTCGATTCTCTCTAGGCCCGTCACTCGCCCCAAAGATCAGATTTTTATTCTCTCCCATTCGGAATTCGACCAAACGAAATGAACAGGTGAACCAGAACTCAACGAAGACAAGACTGATCGCTCGCCAGTCGAGAAACTAATCCAGTGTAGGTAACATGAGAATTGCAAAATCTACGGATTGTCAAATTTATTTTTCTTTTATTTCTTTCCTCTATTCTTTCTTTTTTTTTTTTTTTTTTTTTTTTTTTTTTGTCCATTGCCGTTTCTCGACGGCCGCGAAAAGAAGAAAAGAAGAAAATACTCGCGTTCAACGGGAACAGATATAGATAAAAGAGAGATGGGAGGAAATAAATAATAATCAATCGTCGTGAGACCTTCCAACGTCGACCCCCATCTCCACAGAGCCATTAAAAATACTACACCTCTACCACTTGTAAGCCACCTCTCGAGCTTTGACACAAAGCGTCCTCTCCCAGGTCGAAGACACTTCGTCCCAAATTCCTACGAACCAGCTCACTCTTACGAAATCACAACAGTTTTTCTACAGCCTCCGTAGCGTTCCACCGATCCACGTATCCCCAAAAATATCCTCCAGATCTCGCCTCGAGGCTCTCGTCGCACAAAACTCCAATCCAATTCCAACTACCCAGCCAGCGTATACCCACTTCGCACGTACACGCACGGTCCGTGTCAATGTAATCTACAATCCAACGATTCCGTGTTTGGTCGGTTCGAAAATATCGAAAAAATTATCGAAACCAACGATATGGTAAACGACACGCAGAGATCGAAGAAAATTCTATGACGAAGCAATCGATCGATCATCGTGGATCTTTGGCGAACGCGTTGAACGACGCGTTCGAGGGAGAAAATACCTGCAGCTTCAGCGTCTGATGCTTGGTCCACTGTGCTAGCTGGCGCGGCACCGAGACGGACTGCAGCGTCGGGACGGCGGTGGACGTGTTGAACGACGTCGAGGCGGATGGCGACGAGGAGGACGGTACCGCCGCCGTTAGAGCCGCGGACGATTGTGCCTGATGGTGCTGGCCAGTGCTGTTCCCCACCGACGTTTGCAGCATCCCTCGGTTATTATTAGAGTTCACCAACGTCGGTTGCGCCGACGTCGTTGGCGTCGTCAGCGTCGCCGGCTGTTCCACGCCGGCAACACGGCTGTTCGAAGACGTGGGAGGCCCAGGAAAAGGAAACGGTCCACCAGCGATTCCTCCAACGCCACCTCCAGCTCCACCTACAACACCTCCGCCGCCTGTTCCGCACGTCAACGACGACGACGACGACGTCGAGTACGTCGTGGCGGCGTTGCTCGCCGACGGCGGGATCCTCGGCAGCGGCAAACGGGAACGTGGACCGATGCAACAGCAGTCGGCGATGCTCGAGCTGAGCTCCAGTGCCGCGTTCTCCGCGCACCTCTCCGTCAGTCGTTCGCGAGAGTCGCTCTCCCGGGAACTCCTCTTGCGACGCCTCTCCTGCGACTCTTCCCGCGAGTTCGACGGCGGCAAGCTTTCCTGAAACAGATTTCCGCACTTGTCATCCTTTTATTTATTTATTTATTTATTTATTTATTTATTTTATTTTATTTTATTTTATTTTATTTTATTTTATTTTATTTTATTTTATTTTATGTTATTTTATTTTATTTTATTTTATTTTATTTTATTTTATTTTATTTTATTTTATTTTATTTTATTTTATTTTATTTTATTTTTTTGAGTGATTTGAATTGCTTTGAGAATTTGGAAGGTTTCGAAAATCGAGTATGAAATACTTTACAGGATTCTTTTGTTTCTATCGCTTTTAACGGGACTGATCGATCCAATTATATTATATCCAGATATAATTTATAGAATTTTACGAGTATTTCAAATGATTCTCTTGAAATTAATCTGTGGCAAGTTTGGAATCTCTACATGTTTCGTAACAAACGTAAAGTCAACTTGAAACATTATTAAAACCACCGAGAAGATGGTTTCGTTTCTTTATCGTTCTCTACCGAGGGAAACTTCACCGAAACGATAATACTTAGACAATAAAAGTTATACTTCGCATAAACTAGAACTCGAAAGAGCACAGTAAATTGTACACTTGACAGCTTCACATCGGAACGAGTACTAGTAGGCCAGTCTGATCAAGAACATATGTAAACCACGAAAATAGACTCCAGGAAACTGCTGAACCTGTACATTGTCGCGTTACACGCTCTACAATCAGCAAGAAACACAGTCACGCACATGTTGCGTTATCAGGGCGTGTAAAATTTCGTTTGTAATTGAATATTTGAAATATTTATTCCCACAATACTGGAAACGAAACGAAATCCAAAGATTCCAAACCTCTAAAAATTTACATGTTAGAAGCAAAAAAAAAAAAAAAGAAAAAAAGAAACGTTATTTCACAGAACGAAGAATATTTTATTTCCAATTTATGGCTGGCCTGTGTAGATCAGAGCACGTACTTGCACTTCTCTGTCCAATATACGTACGAAAGCAGCGGAACAAATGGGACCCTAAAGCCTGTGAAGTGGCATCGCGCATAAAGAGATTCAAAGACTGCTTTTTGTAGCGTCGTGTAAAACGAAACGTAGGAAGTAGAACCTGCTTGTACAAGATAATTTCACCTTGTCCTTACCCAACAGGGAACACCTAATTTTAATACCATCTCCTATCCGTCACGTTTTCACCTATTTGCAATTGTACATTGCCACTCGAGCCAGAAGGCAAACACCGCGAAGATCTAACGCTTTAATCCTGGTCAAAGGCCACGGCTACGTTCGAGACTACTCGTTTCTTTAAAAAAATGAGAATATCTTCTCGAGAATGAATCGCCAAGATCCGACGCGTTAGTTCTAGTCTCTAGACTGTGACCACGTTCAAAATTAGTCTCTCGGAAATAAAAACGTCGCCGGGGGAAAAGAATTACAGCGACCGGACACGCTGCTTCTAGTCAAATCGCGGTTACATACGAAATTAGTTTCTCGTGGAGATAAAAGTGTCGTCTTGGAACGTTAAAACGATCGAGAACGCGTTAAAGATTAATTTCTCGGAAATGAAAATAAAATTTCTCGGCGATGGTTATTTTCTTCTCTCGGCTCTCGATCATCCGCGGTGGGGAAATGAGAAGTTTCCTTCGTTGAAACGTTTGGATATCTTCGGATGTCCGGGAAAAGTCGTAATGATCGTTCGCGTTACTTTCTGATTATTTATAGGTTCGTCTGGTACGTTCGTGTGTGCAAGAACGATCATCGTGGTAAAGAGGATAAGAGAGGAGACAATGGCGTCGAGAGGCACGGGTGACGTTGTTTCTTCCCACGAGCAAACCGGAGATAAACTCCTCTGAAATAGATCTCTGACTCTCGTTGTATGCAGCGGCACGACGTACACGTGAATATGCTGGAAAGTAGTATCATCTAATCTCCTTTCTGGAAATCCAGCCGAGATAGCGAGATACGTACCGAAATGTACGTATTTCGATCTTTATTTCCGACATTTTACGTCCCGCGATACCGCGAGGAAACGCTGAAAAAGGAAAAAGATAACGAAATATCCGCGCCCCGTGTCGTAATAACTCCATAAGAGAACTGTATTGTACACACAGTGATCATGTATTCGAATGGAGAAGATTATATTCGGATATATCGAGTAGCTTAAAGAGACTCTCTTTACCTGAATCAGCCTTACCCGACTTTTCGGATTCGGATATTTTTATTTCCAATGCGAATTTAAATTCAAGTGTTCGAGGTGCCTGCGAGAGTGTAATTTCGCTCGAGTTTTCGCCCGAGATGTTATATCTCGAGATAAAAAACTCGTTTCGCAATTTTCTCTGCAATTCCAAGGACCATTTTCAGAAATACTATTGAAAACTTTTGCAATAAAATTACATTCATACAATAATTTTTATTGAAGATCTATCCGACTGCTCTATATAACGCTGGAAGTATCAATCGAATAATAATTTGCCAATTTTCCGGTAAAAACATATTCGTACACACGGAAAACAAAAATTTTCTACATCAATTCACCTCGGTCGTATCACTGACACTGTCGCAAAACTATGATTTCTTTCGTCTACCAAGTATTATACGCATATCGTACGCATTTTATAGATTTCTATTCATTCAAACTCTGATAATCAAAGACACACACACACACACACAAGGGCCGGGATAAAGAGAGTCTAAAATCGGAGCGCGAGATTCGGAGGAACGTCGGCTCTCGATCGGGCGGCGATGGTCCGCGGTGATTTATCGCGATCGATGGACTTGGCAGGGCGTCGGCGGGTAAGTGCCGCACGAGATCCTCACGTCCGCCGCTACGTGTGCGTACGATGTCAACGGTGTGGATATTATTCCGGGGCCGGGACAAGGACGGGGCATCGATGAAAAATAGGAAGAGGAAGATAGGAAAGAGGAGCGAAAAGGGGGGGGACGTGCGCGGAATCGGTACGAGTCAGTGACTGGTGGCATTCTATTTGCGCGATCGGCTCTATATTTAGGATTTCCGACGTCTTCATTTTGCTCGCGCGCGAAAACGTCGCCTCTCCTCTGTCGCGAGCCCGTCGAAGGTCGTCACGGCACGGCCAACACCGGAGTTCGGATTCTTATTTGGCTGGACGCTGCGTCGGTCCCGTCGCTGGCAAACGTTACCGTGAAATTTCAAAAACTCGATATCCCTCCCCTTTCGACACCACTGTTGACGCAGTTCGCCAACAACAGTGCGCCTTTTTGAACCATATTTGGACGGATGGAATGCCACTCGTAATAAAAGGAACTGTTGTACGTACCGTACCTTTTAAACGTTGTGATGATACAGTTGATGTTTATACAATACACTGTCCGAGAATGCATTTAGTTGAATTCTTTGATTGTTGCGTATGTAACGAAAAGTTGTTGCACAACACTCTCTCTTTAATTACAATGACACGAGGCTTTGATGTCATTTTTTTCCTTCTTTTGGTATTCATTCTGTAGGCTGTTCTTTTGATAAAAAGAGTATTGAAATGACAAATATTCTTTAACAAATACTTTATATAATTGATATTCACTATTAATTTACGTCTATCTGACAAAAGATACTTTTCCTATACTCGGATGAATGGAAATAGAAAAGAATTCTCCACAGTGAGAAAGAATGTAAGAACTATGACAGCCCGTTGCTGTTGAATATCAAAACATAGCCCGCCGCCTCCACATAAATTCCTTGTCTTAAACGATTTATTATATAAATAACAATTAATTGTTCGAGCAAACCCGAGTAACTTTATATGAATGTTCGTAACTCGACTAAAATATATACCATTTATCCCAGGTGTGAGTCGAATAATTTCCAAATTCGTAACTTACTTTGATAAAGCCGCTTATTGCAAGTGTTATTGTAAGCTTCTTACCTGAGAAAGTCTGAGACCGTATCTGGTACCACCAAGAACCACGTAACCACCTCCGACACTTGCCCCTGTCATGGCTCTTGCTGCACCCCCAAGCCATCCTCCGAATCCACTTCCTCCTGCCTTCTCCGGCCCGCCACCCCCGTCTCCGCCGACGCGAGGCATTCTTCATCCTCCCTTCACCCTGCACAAACACATCAGGCAAATTACCAATTTCTCATCGTTGCTCGATCGATGAAAAATCCACCGAAAGCCGATTATTCAGCTCAGTTTTTTAGTTCCCTCGTTTCTTTCGCTTTTCGAACAACCAATCAGCAATCATCGTTGCTTTAACAGAGAGTTTGCACTGGCAATGAGCATCGTGGTTTATGAACTCACCGGCCTCACGTTATGACGTAAGGTAAACTCTAAATTGTGTTTTGAGTAAATACGCCATCGCGGTTTTACCGTCCGATTCAACAGGAAGCGAGCATAAATTTCGCGGCAACATCTGACGCTCGGTGTCTATTTTTCTTTCGCTCCTCTCTGTTTTTTAACGCTAGAATTATCAGACTAGTAATTTTCATAGAAGTTTTCGCGGATATCTTTACATCTCGTATACCTTACGTACGGTTGAGTAACAATTTATCGTAGGAAACGTTAGTCCTTCAGTTCTTTTCGTATCGTTGAGTTGATGAAAGATCGCTGTAGAAGTAGAGTAACGAAATGTTGCAAAGAAGAATTAACTAGAATACAATAAAGAAGATTTATCTAATTGATCTAATTTAACAGAGAAAAAGAAAGACTAAAATTTATATTTCTACGAACGATTCTGTTTTAATTTCCCAAATAATGAGACGATGATCAGAGTTTTCATTAAAATTATCACACCTATCACACTTCATCTTTAGTTTTAATTAGAGTATATATTTTTTTCGATTTTGTCGATGTTTCAAGTCCGCACGCTGTTTAAGCTTCGCTGTCATAAGTTACCAGTACAGTGGAACGAAACGCGACGTCGACAACGTCGTGAATTAAACGTTCACAAATTTTTTGTTCACAAATCAAACCTGGCGAACCTTTTTCTCACAGATCACGTCGATTTACCGAATCATCGAGTTCGCGAAGACCTCGCGGCACGCGCACAGGCAACTTTAATGGAACTTTCTCGCGAATCAACAGGAATTTCATTCAGTAACGGCGACGTGTCGTAAATAAATAAAATCGTTGTCCACCATCCGGGAATGCGCAAACGTTCACAGAAATTCAAGAAGCGATCGACGTACGTGCGTGCGTGCGTGAGTGCGTGCGTGCGTAACATGGATGCGTGAGTTGAACTCATCGAGTTTGCTAATTTCATTTGTGTTGTGTTAAAAATTTATGGAAACCGTTCTGCTCGATGAAACAGACAGAATTGAAAAATCTTAGAAACTTAAACGTTAAAGAGTTTATTAAGAAATAAAAGAGTTATTTGGAAGAATGTGGATAATAAAATTATGGAACTGCGCATGTATTCTGAAATACATAATTCGAAATGCACTGACACAGTCAGTTTTGGAGCAAAAAGATCTTTGATCTCTTCGAATTTATTTCGTGTCGACTTTTTAAAACCGTACCCGTAAAATATTTTATTTTCAGTGGAAACAAAATTTAGAAGCAGCACATGTTGTATTGACATTATTGACTATAATTACCGGTAACTAAGTATAAAATTTACTAAAAAACCGAAATTGGAAAAATGTTTAATACAATATATATTTATTCGTATGTTTAACGAAAGATCATTCAAATCATTCAACTAAAATGTTATGAATCTGTAAAATTACAAATTCATCGTTTCAAGGTATTAAAGTAATATCTCATGCTCTCGTGGATATCGTTAAATATCGATCATTCGTTTGATGTAACACAGTGCCAATCGTGCCAATATTTTTTTTTTTTTTTTTTAATCGTTTCGATCGTACGTTCACCTAGATAAAATTTTACAAAAATGTATTGGATTTAAGGAATATATAGGGAAATATTTCAAGAGTATAATTTTCTCTTGTAACGCTTGTGAATGTTATTATATTCACGAGAGAAGAATTTTTCATATAAGGCAAACACAATTATAAAGTTTATCTACGTTTCGTCGTATATGTGACTAATGTCAATCGGAAATTGACGTCACAGCACCGTTACATCCGATTTAGGCGTAACTGACCATTTCTGTAAAAGGAAACCACTCAACTTTGCCAGATATGGGCGCAACATTTAACTGTAAAATGTTAAAAAAAATATATATATATACATACATGTACACTCTTAAGTTTATAACATTGTGACAGGAGACGAACGTTATAGACAAGTGTGACGATAGTGACAGAAATTTTGCATAAATTCACGCATCGATGGCCGCACGAACGTGAGACCTCTCCACCATGAATTTATCATTTCATTCGGTGAAGCAACCACTGTGATTCGAAGAAATAAATTAATCACCGGAGGCCAGAAATTGCTATCAATAACCATGGTTCGTTCATCGATGAACGAGCAATCGACGAGCATAAATTGAAAATCCCAGACACCTGCTATTTCAAACGATACGAACTGTTCGCTGTTTGTTTCAATGTCATTTAAATTTAAATTCATTCGTGAAATTGAAAACACGCGAACGAAAAATAATAGCGAGGAAATTGAAAGAAGAAGAGAAGAAGAAAAAAGAACGGACTTGCCATATTTTCATCCGTCTGGCTTTTACTGACAACGAGAGAATTTCAATGTCTCTCCGCTGCACAATCTTCGAAAAGCTGGCTTCTATCTAAACGGTATCGCGATGGAGGCTTTATGATTGCAAATATTGAGCGTTTATAAATATCTGTGTATGTCTTTTCTATTTCCGAGTGCCGAAAGCTAACTATATCGGCGGCCGGAATGGTTCGCGCGCCTTCAAAGATCTAAAGGAACATCAAGAGTCCATCGTTCAAACAATAATAACGATTATAAATTCTTTACACTTGACTTAAGAGACTTCGAACATTTACTAAAGTGTCCGAACTGAGAGAAAGAAAAATTCTATTCGCTACAGTGTTGCAACAAGACGCGATGTTACGAGACATCTATTTCGAAAATTTACTAAATCTAGTGAAAAATTAATACATTCATGTCCACGAACGACGAGCTGATTTGACATTGGAGAATTGGAAAATTGAAAGATCTTTAAAAATAAAAAAATAGGTTCCACCAGATATCTCGTGATTCGTTACAGAATTAATGAAATTTATTACAATACAGAGGCGTTTGTCAAACTGTTCAAAACACGAGGTTATGTCAACGCGAGGAGCAACGATGGTCGCATTGTTTCGCTTTCCTCCATCACAGAGATTGCGTGTTTCGTTGAATCGGGCTGAGATAAAAATCATCTTCTCTCGCGTTATTTGTACTACAAAGAGCCGTTCTTTTTTGGCGTATGCAAATCACCGGCGGCCACTGCGGAATTTATGAACGGCCGCTGAACAGGTTGAGATTAACGAGAAATATTATTTCGATGCACACACACACACACACACACACACACACACACACACCGTAAATCGCAGCGAGTTCATTCGATTTTCGTCTAATGTGTTTTCTGTCAGATAGGCAATGATCGAGTGACATTCAATTCCCGTGAGTGAGTTATTTCGCCGAACCGCGAGCCGTCGTTGTTCCCGATAACGGATGTTGAACTCCGTTGAACGAGTTTCACCGAATCTCGATAAAGCTCGTCTCGTCAGCGGTGTTATTGTTCGGGCAAAAGTCCCGATCTGACAGATTGAGAGGGGTCACTTCTCTTTCGAAATGAGTCAATTTTCTGGCGACTGGTACCAGCGACATTCCGACCTGCCGGTATCTCGATTAGTAAACTTCGTTGAAATCCAAATTAATCTCTATTAATAAACCAGACAGACAAGGTTCGATAAAAAAAAAAAAAAAGAAAAGAATAAAAGAAACGAACGATATTCATTCGATTAGAAGCAATCCGGCGCGCTTCTTGTTCAACCAACGTGATTTCCAAGTTTCCGATTATGGTTCAAATTTACTCGAACGTATTATTTCTCCTCTGTTTAAAATGACAAATATCAATCTTGAGTGAACTTACGGTACGTTTGATTCCATCACCGGGCAACGACGATCCCGATTGATCTTCGTCAACGAGAGAAGAAATACATATTCACTGGCGTTGGAAGAGAGAGAGAGATATCCCATCGATCGAAAACACAATTCTAGATGCGGACGAACGTCTGGCCAGCCGCGAAGCTGCGAACGAGCCGATGCATTCCTCTCGAGAAAATGGTCGATTGGTCCACGGAAAGCGGCGTCTCTTTCACACAGTCCCGAGTCCAATTGGCCGGAACGAATTGAACTTGTGCCAGGATCGCGCCGCGGTGGACAAAAAGAAGTAGAAGACGGGTCTGGTGCGCGGCAGGATACTTGAGGGCGTTTCCTCTCGCTTTCTTTTCGCTCGGGCACCCGCGCGACGATATTCTCGAATTCCGCGACGCTCACGCGGTCCCGTCCTTATTCCGAGAGGTTTTCATCTCGATTGCCACATCGGCACGTGGCATTGGTATCGCCGCGGCCGCGTATTAATTAAATTCGGAACGCGACACCGTGGCGCGGAATTTCGAACATCTTGCACACCGAGAGAGAGAGGGGCTCTGGCTTTCCTCCTAATTCGCAACGAAAACCCGTTCCACCTACGTCCCGTGCCTGATCATGTGCAGAATCCGTAGAAAAAATAAACAAAAATGCGAAAAAAAAATTTGACAAAGAGATCGTTTCTTGAATAAACGCGGAAAATTTTTAATATTAAATTGTTCTCAATATAACGACACTTGACAAGTACAAGAACCTTGATATTGAAGCGTTACGTGAAATAAATTTCCAATTGCCTTTCTTTCAACGGTCAAACATCCTGTCGGCAACAATGTGCAATTGGCAATCCTCGGACGCACAATTCCATGAAAATACGCGAAAGCGCAAGAGAATCGGAACACCGTTTAGCCTCACCAAGATAGCGAGCGAGGCATCTCGCGACCGCAGGTGGCACTCTTGGTACAGCTAATTCATTGGCACTCTGCCCGCCATGATTTTTCCTCGGGAATCCAAACGCCCGGATTTGGATGATTCAACGGAGCGGAGGAAGCGAGCGGTCTCACGCACGGCACGAAGTGCCCTGGCACG